AGAGCGGGGGGGGGGGGGGCCAAAAACCAGGAGGCGCGTGGAGGGAGGAGGTAAAGAGAGAATTCAAATTGGCGCTCAATCTTTCAACGTTTCCTCCATTCCCCCAAATTTTTCGATTTATGTTTTAAAGCCCTTCGAGCCTTCTATCTCTCCAAATCTCTCTCTCTGTCTCCGAGGATTCTCAGATCTGTCGCGGGCGAGATCGACATGCCGCACTCGTCCACTTCCACGCCGGAATCTTCTTCCTCCAGACACCATTCTTACAGCAGGAAGCAGAAGTCTCTGGGACTTCTCTGTACCAAGTACTTCTCTTTTTTGAATCTTTTATCGCCAGAGATTGTTTATTCTCTTGTCCTGATGCTTCCGATTTCGAGATTTCTCTGATGATCTGTTTTGTTTCTTCTTCTCAGCTTCTTGACACTGTACAATCGAGATGAAATTGAGATGATTGGGCTTGATGACGCTGCTGCGAAATTAGGTATCTCTTTCGCTCAGCTCCTGATTCGTGTACATTCGATGCGATTCTCAACACTGTAGCATTGGAATTCAGTCGTTTATTGGATCTGCAGGAGTTGAGCGACGGAGGATTTATGACATTGTTAATGTGCTCGAAAGTGTCGGGGTGAGATTCGGTTTGTCCCATCTTTTCCGGTTTTTCCATTTCTACTCTGTTCTGTAATAATTGTTCACAAACGGGTTTTGATGAAAATTAGGTTTTGACGAGAAGAGCTAAAAATCAGTATACATGGAAAGGGTTCAGTGCGATCCCAGGAGCCTTGAAAGAGCTAAAGGTAGTTTTTTTGTTCATCATAATTTGTTTTTGTTCCATAAATTTCTCGAGATTTGGATAAAAATTTCTCAGAAGGAAAAGTCTCATGATGCATATATTGCAGGATGAGGGAGTCAAGGACACTTTTCACCGATTCTATACCAATGAGAACGTAAAAGTAAGTGATTGCATTAGATTTCTTTCTTCCACGGTCTACAATTTATTGCTTCCATATCCTGAGAGGTACATATCCTTTGATATAAATCTAGGTATCCGATGATGAGGACGATGAGGAAGACACTTCCCAGCCTCATTCTAGCAGCCAAAATGATAGTTCAAAACCCGAATCTCTTCCCAATTCTTCAGCTTCATCTAAAATAGGTCAATTTTTTTCCCTATGGTACCAATGTAGTCAAGTTTCGTTTTCTTGCAAAGTGGATTAGAAGAAGTATATGCCTAAGATGGCATAAAACAGTTGGCAAATTTATGAATCAGATTTCTTATTTATGTGAACAGATAACCGGAGAGAAAAATCTTTAGGCCTTCTTACTCAGAATTTTGTCAAGCTCTTTGTTTGCTCTGAAGTAAGTGAGAAATCATGTTCCTTTGATGAACTCCTTTTTGGCATGAAGTTACTCAACCTTTTTAATGTTCAACTTGTTTAGGCTCAGGTCATCTCTCTTGACGAAGCTGCAAAATTACTGCTTGGTGATGCCCACAACACGTCGATCATGAGAAGTAACTATCTCCTTTTGACCTTCTGTGGAAGTTCTTTGTTTTTATAAACATTTCAGACATGATAGATTATAGAATGATTTGGTTGTTGACATGGGAGTATTTCATTTTGCAGCAAAAGTAAGACGGCTGTATGATATTGCAAATGTATTATCGTCCATGAATCTCATAGAGAAGGTAAATATACTCTCCCTTTCGGCAGCAATTAGAAAACCAACAATGTTCTTGCTACTCAGTGAATTGGAGCAACTCTGGTTCTCTTTGAATACAGACCCACACTTCCGATACACGAAAACCAGCTTTCAAGTGGTTGGGATACAGCGGCCAACCTCTTCACATTCCAAGCAATGATTTGAAGCAAAGCGAATCAAGAAAAAGGGTTTTTGGGACTGATCTTACGAATACCAATGTCAAGAGGAACAAACCAGCATCCTTTACACATGAGAGTACATCAGAAAAGATGCACCGGATGGGTAAACAGACAGTAGCTGAGAGTTCATCTAACAAAACCAGTAAGGTTCCGGAATCAGTACACGGAACAAGGAGTTACCAGTTTGGTCCTTTCGCACCTGCCAGTGTTACGAGTCATCATAGTGTCGCTCTGGATAACAGCTCGAAGAGTGTTACCGATTTGGAGAATCTAGCTTCAGTCCACCGTCCTTGTTACCAAAACCAAGGTATTATTATCCCAAACAGTAACGCCTGACCAAATTTAGAACATATGTTCCCCAGAAAAAGAAAAGTTAATCAGTTTGGTTCTATATGTTTTATTAAATGCAGCTTTGAGAGACCTCTTTGCTCATTACATGGAAGCTTGGAAGTCATGGTATAGTGAAGTTGCAAGGAAGAATCCATTAGCCGAAACCTCACAACACCATTAGAACTTCTTTTTTTTTTGAGATTGGTACAGATTTAAGATGCCATTGGTTCTCCCTCCACCCCTTCCCTTTGCCTTTGTGTCTCTTTCCTTGTAACTGTCGGAATTGACAACAGAGGTAACCAGAACGCATGTTCGGTGTGCGTTGAAAATGACTGTATTAGCCACCCTTTAGCAATTCGCTCATTGCTTTTGCTACTAATGAAAACTCTTGTATGTTAGGGTTCTTGTTTTTTTTTGTTTGATGATGCATGGCTACTAAGTTGCAAAGCAAATAATGACACAGACGGCCAAATTAGTGAATTTCAAGACAGTAGCTTGGTCTCTCTTACACAAGGAACATTACCTTTGTCTATGTTTCAAATATGTAGTGAGATCACACAGGGGTCTTTAGACTTGGACATCTCATTACATTATTATACGAGTTTCTGTTTATGTGATAATCTCAGAGCTTGGAAGGAGGCTCGTACCATCCCCATGGCTCATCCGAGATGTACTGAGTCACCTGCTTCACGCTCAGGTAATTCTCAAGTCCCCTGCATAGATAGAACAAGGCAGTATGCATGAATGAGTTTCGCAAACCAGAACCATGTGTTTGAATTCAACCCCCTAAAGAAAGAGAACTATGATTTTTTTTTTGTATTCTTCTTGTGAAAAAAGAACAAGTTTAGACAGCAACCCAGAAGATCGGTGTTTGTTTACTCTATTGTCCCTCTTGGGCAACATTCAAATGACTTTGGCCTCCTTTTATTCATAATTATTGTTTAGAATAAAGCAAAGGAAGAATTTTGGGAGACTTACCATTCTCCTAATTCACGGCCGAAACCACTGCGTTTGGTGCCACCCCATGGAGCTTGGGTGAAGCATGGCTGCGAACAGTTTACCCACACAATCCCCGCCTGGATTGCCTGCAAAGGCCCCGGCACTTGTGAGTATGGTTTTTTGCTGATGTTGGTTTTTTTTCAGAGTTAAATAGATACTCACCTTGCTTACACGATCACACCTCCCCAGATCATCTGATAATACTGCACCAGCTAATCCATATCTGCATAATTTTGTTTTTTTTTAATTTTGTCAGACATGAATCTATATACGCCTTTGAGAACAAAATAAGACGAAAACTGAAGTTGTTTTGTCTGTGAATGAAATATCCTACTCACTCAGAGTCATTTGCCAGCCGAATAGCCTCATCCTCTGTGGAGAATGTTTTGACACAGAGAACAGGACCGAAGACTTCCTCTTTCCAGATTTGCATGGAAGTAGTCACATTTGTAATGATAGCAGGTTCAACGAAATATCCCTTCTTCAAGTGCTGATCAGATTATACATGAAACAAACTATTGTCAAAAGACTATTTGGGCAAAACCACATTAATATCAATCTGTGTGGAATGAACTGTGTACCGCAGGACGAGCTCCACCACACAAGACAGTCGCACCTTCACTCTTCGCATTCGAGACAAACTTAAGTATTTTCTCATACTGCAAATGGGGTAAGAGATTAGACTTGAGCATATTGATACATCACAAATCTTAGCCTCATGACTCCAAATTGGTATATTCAATCATTTAGCCACGGACATTAATACTGTTTGTCCTTAACTTTTTGTATGGTGGCCCTAGAAACTTCTAGAGCCGAATATCGATTTTGCCTAGAAACTTTACTTTACCTGCCCTTTGCTGACGACGGGACCGAGCCTGCAGCCTTCATCAAGAGGATCTGAAATCTTAATGTTCTTCGTCCATTTAACCATCTTGTCCAAAAATTCTTCTGCTATCCTCTCCTGGCATTTTGCACAAAAAAAATTCTCAGTTAAAATAACATAAAAGATGTAAAGAAAAGCTTTACTGTCATCACTGGTTCACACTCTATCCGCATTCCACATGGCCTGTCTTACTAGAAAGTATGAGAAAATCTATTCGGCTTCAGGTATAGAGTGTTAGTTTCATGTGAGCAAGGCAGAATAGTAAACCTTGTTTCCAGACTAAATTATCGTAAACATTGGTACTCCATTTCAAGTAGCGACCTTGTATTCTATGAGATATAATGCTATTTTGCTACAGAACTGACATGGATGGTTTTGAACTGTATAAAGGGTATTACACATTATATATGGTTGCACAAGTGTATAGATGGATTCTGTAGATTATGATCACTTACATGCACCAGAAGCCGAGATGTTGCACTGCAGATCTGACCATTAGTCCAGAAACAACCAAACATTGTCCATTCCACCGCTGTTTAGAACAAAATATGAAATCACTAGCTCAGGATCCATGAAAAAATATGGCTGTAAAATCACATTCCAAGAAATGGAGATTTGATTAGTATGGTGTTCTCAAGGTCCCAAAAGTACTTACCTTTATCAATGTCAACGTCATCAAAAACAATGATGGGGCTTTTCCCTCCAAGCTCCAAAGAAACAGGCTGTCGATGAAGACATAAGATCCATACACAGACAGGCAAATATAAGTAAACCACGGAACTCTCCTCAAAGGAAATGAAATAAGGATTCTTGGACATACTTTCACCAATTTAGCTGCGGAAGCCATAATATTGCTTCCAGTTGCACTGCTTCCAGTGAATACAACCTGGTAAGAGCTAATGTTAGTGATCTATAACTTCCTCAACAATCCAAAAAAAAAAGGAAAGAATCTAATAAGGTTTAGGTCCTAACTCCACCACAAAAGCTAGCTTAAGAGTGGAGGTTTGACCCTTACTTATATATTGGCCCAAATCCCTCTCATTTTCCAATGTGGGACACTTATCAAAACCGCCCCCTTTAGACAGCGACGTCCACGGCGCTGGGGCAAATCTGGGCGCTGGCGGCTTCTCGGTCGATGGCGGCTTCTCGATCACTGGCGGCTTCTCGGTCCATCCCCGACCGTTCCTCTCCTGATCGTTCCTCTCCCGACCGTTCCTCTCCCGACCGTCCCACAACCACCGAGTCGACCGCATGTCCGCAAGAGAACGGCCCGTCAAAGGCCCACCGGAAAGTAGAGAGTTAAGCTCTGATACCAATTAATAAGGTTTAGGTCCTAACTCCACCACAAAAGCTAGCTTAAGAGTGGAGGTTTGACCCTTACTTATATATTGGCCCAAATCCCTCTCATTTTCCAATGTGGGACACTTATCAGAATCACACAAAGACAAAGGAATCCGGTATCTCGAATTCATCATGGGATTTTAAGGACACCCATTAAAGATGAGAAATTCCAAGAAACAGACCTTGTCAACTTTGGGATGAGACACGAGGGGACCACCAGCTTCAGGGCCTAAACCAGTCAAAATATTCAGAACACCGGGTGGAAGACCCACTTCACGGCAGATATCTCCAAGCTCCAAACTCGTCCTAAAGTGAAACCACATCAGAGGGGTCCATCCAATAACACCCCCCAAATAAATTAACTATCATTTTAACAAGAATGAAGTACAGACAGTGAGGCCAACTCGGAAGGTTTGAGTATTGCTGTGCAACCAGCAGCCAGAGAAGGAGCCACTTTCCATACAGCCATCAACAACGGATAGTTCCTTCAACATAAATACAAATTATCAGATGCCCTGAAGTTGTTACCACTGTTGTGCAGAAAAGGGGGAAAAAGCTTGAATATCAACGTAATCTTGGTAAACAAAACAATCAGAACAACTAAAATCACCAGATCCACTTGCTTTCCACCAGTGAAAACAATGATTTTAGTGTTCGGAATCAGTCACAACAAAACAATCAGAACAACGTAATCTTGCAGAATCAGTCACAATGAAATCAATTCTTAGAATATGATAAAAGGGAAAAAGATACCATGGAGTGATCAATCCAACAACTCCAATGGGTTCCTTGAGAATGTAACCCTTAAAGCTCTCTAGCGGAAGAGCAAGAGGAGCCTTCTGCTTAGCATCTAAGCCTTCAGCAAGGTCAGCATAATATTCAAAACATCCAGCCACATCATCCTGAAGACATGAGAGAGCACATAAGACGGATATGCACCACTGAACAACAGAATGTTAACCAAGACTAAGAGGGAATACCATGTCCCATGCTGCTTCCTCCAGTGGTTTACCACAATCAATTGCCTCAAGTTTAGCTAGTTCAGACTTTCTCTCTGTTATCTACATGTGAATATACACACAAAGCTTAACGTTTGATGAGACAACTTTAAACAAGCCCATTCAAATGTGAGATTGACATTCCCATGTAGCTAGACAGATATAATTATGAGATAACTAATACAGATGTGGGCGATAGAGAAATCTAACTTCCATAGTTTAATGATACCTTAGCTGCAATAGCACGCAAGTATTTGGCACGAATAGCCCCAGAGGCTCTAGCCCAGTCCTTGCCGTCATTCCTAGCAAATGCTCTCCGGGCAGCCTCCACCGCAAAAGCTACATCTTCCTCAGTCGCAGCCGGAATATCACCTAAACCAACACCAACCCCATTTCACCAAAACATAAAACTTTGACTAGAGCCAGATAATATCTTGAATACAGAGTTCCACAAGTTAAAACAGAAACATCTCCTCCGATCTTTGTCAGAGATGGAAACAAGAATAGAAACCATTGCTTCTGATATCAGTTCATGGAACAAATGGAAGCTCAGGCTTAAACCCGTTTTACACAAACAGATCTGACCAGCCCACAAAAAATTCAACCACAACCTAAACAATGAAAGGCAGAACAAAACTATTGGATGTGATGAAAACTTTACACTGCAGCTTGAAAAAAGTTTGGATTTAAGTTGCGATCTAAATCATGCAAATGACGAGGAAAATCAAGAGTTTGAAAACACAATCTATCGAAATAGAGGAGCACGGACAGATGCGCGCACACACACACACGGAATTCTAGAATATGTAAAACCAGTTTTCCTACAACATCGGAAATTAGCCAAGGCAAAAACCCAATCATCTCCTACTTCCAATTTAACTAAACTAAGGAGAAACACTCAAAATCTCGACCGATCCAAGCTACTACACTAAGCAGAACAAAAAAAACAAACAAAACCCAAAAGAAAAAAAAAAGTGATCAACGATGGAAGCAAAGAGGGCAAACAAGGACGGAGAAGAACCGATGATCTCTTCGGTGGCTGGGTTGACGACTGGGAGGCGTTTCCGACGGATAGGCTCTCTCCAAACGCCGTCGATGAAGAGCCCCCGTCTCGGCACCGTGATAGCCATTGTACTTCACTCTCTCTGTGCGTTTTTTTTTTGTATTGCGGGTTTTTTTGTCAACAAAGATATCGAAAGTTGTCCGATTCCCGAGGAAGCGAGCTGCAGAAATGTCCAGAGATTATATATAGAGCGGTGGAAATTTTTTTGCCACTAACCTTCAAAGTTCAAAAGCGTCCCTCTTTCTTTCCCTTTTCAGGCCGCAGGCCCGCAGCGCACCTAACGAACCGGACAAGTGAATGATCATCCGGTTTAATTCGGTTAATTTGGTTTAGATAAAATAGATTTTTAAATCGGATTTTATACATCGAAATGGAAATATTTGTTTCTAGTTTTACAAGCCAAATTAATGTTTTATCGCTTTTATGTTTTTATATTCATGGATTTGGGGATACTTACATATTATAACTATATTTAAAAAATTAATAAATATTAATTGTCAACTATAAATTTTGTTAGGTATTGTCATTTAAAATTATATATATAATTTATAATATTATTATTTTTTAATATGATATAATCATAACATAATAATTTAGCAAATTATAATATTGTCCGATTTTTTTAAAAATTTTTATTTTTTTACAGATGATCAGGTAATGGACGCTTGTTAAAAGATTAAAGTTTTAGATCTATGAATAATTAGATTTAAATAGAACGATTTTTTTTTACCATTTATTTTATCTTATGATACAAAATGAAAAAAATCAAGTAAACCACAGAAATCGAAAACCAAAACAAACAGATTTCAATATCATAAAAAATTGAACAAAAGGGAAAGGGGGAGGGGATCAGTTTTTGTTTGTGGATTTGTGATATTTGTCCTTAACCCAACTGAGCCCCAGAGAAGTCCCCGCTTTCACTTTCTTCAATCCCGAAGTCGCCGCCGATTTCGTCTTCTCCAATCCCTCCCCCACTTTCTCCTTATACCTCGCGCTTGTACCCCACGCGCCGCCGCCCTCTGCCTTCTTCTCCGGCCTCTCGCTGGTGTCCCACTGATCCGCCCACGAATTTTTTCCCTCCATTGTGGCCGCAGAGAGAGATGAGGTTCTGTTTAGAATTACAGCCAATGCAAAGCGACTTATATATGGTTTTGGTTTGCGGTGAATCCTCCTTATTCAGAGCTAAACATTAATTAAAATGCCATAATTGATGGATTCTTTGAGATTTTTATATTAGGTTTTTGGTTTATTATATTTACTAATTAATCTCTCACGAGTAGATTATGCTTTTAATTCGTGCTTATCCTTTTGATGAGGCCAAAAGCGTGTCTGACCTTTTTTTTCCCAAATAAAAATTAAAATTGTAATGCATTCTTTTTCTGAAATAATCAAATATTAATTAATTGGAACGGATATATATTGCGTTCAAATACAAGGCCCAATTCCTCTGTGATTGATGTTGGGCCCTTAAAGGGCCGTTGTATATAGCAGTTTAAATGGGCCTATTGTCCATAGTCTGCTAATATTGTATATATAACAGAAATTTCACATCATATTACGAAAGTAGCATTAGTATGTATGTATGTATGTATGTATGTATGTATGTATGTATGTATGTATGTATGTATGTATGTATGTATGTATGTATGTATGTATGTATGTATGTATGTATGTATGTATGTATGTATGTATGTATGTATGTATGTATGTATGTATGTATGTATGTATGTATGTATGTATGTATGTATGTATGTATGTATGTATGTATGTATGTATGTATGTATGTATGTATGTATGTATGTATGTATGTATGTATGTATGTATGTATGTATGTATGTATGTATGTATGTATGTATGTATGTATGATGTGTGTTCAAAGCACAAGAAAGCTGCAGTTGATCTTTTTGTTTTTTTAATTGTGAAAGACAGATCACACGGTGTGTACATCGAAACTGTCGCTTTTTTGTGTTATATACATATATGTCAGTATGTATATGTGTATATATAGACCCAGTCTTCTATTATATTCTATTATATTATATTATATTAAATCCACGCTAACAGTACGTTAATTTTATTGCATTTCCAATTCATGCGCATGTTTCGCAACCCCCTGACGTGGTCATCTTGCACATTGACAAAAATTGTGCAAGATCTCATGCATGTTGATCTCTTAGTATAGCATACCAAAATTTCAACCAACAAAATTTAAATAATAATAATAATACAGAATGAAACCAATGTGTATGTATCTATCTTATATTATATGTGTATCTCACATACACGCGTGTTGACATTTAAAGACATGAAGCAAAAAGTCTAAGTTTGCACAGAACCTAAGCATGGGTGTTGTGTTTAATGTCACGGAGAAATATAGCGTACAACTATAACGAAATATTTTACACATTATTGACCGAAATAAAAGCTGTCTCTGAAATGTTACAGAACAGCGCATAATGTATATCCTTTTTACCGAAATCAGTATATTAGCATATATACACACACACACACATGACCGTGACCGTACCCAAGGCACTGGATCTTAATCTTTTACCGACGAAGTTCCATTGATCATCAAATTCTTGATACCGACAAACATCCTTCATACAACTTACGTACGCACATGATAATCTGTGCCTCAAACGTACAGCATTAATTGTTCATACATATCAGGTTTATATATATATGCGTGTGTGTGTGTGTGTGTGTATATATATATGCGCAAGTGTGTATGTACGATATGTATATACATATAGAACATATATACACACGCGCGCGCTCAAACAGTTGTATGTGAGGTGCGGGGAGAGGGGATGAAGAATGATGAGGTTAAACAGTGTATGTTTTAATTGAAATCTTAGCTGTAACCGACCGAGAAATTAATATAAGAAAGGACGAAAAATGATGATAAATTAACGCTTTCTCGATCTAACTACGCAGTCGACTTCATATTCATGGATCGAATTTAGCACAAACATGGCAAAGAGACAAACATATCATCATATTGGATTTCTTACGAATGAATTCAAAGATAGTACCATATGTCAATATGCATAACGTAAACATCGGGATACACGAAAGATTCAAGTCAAACCAAAAGGAACAATAACAACAACAAAAAAAAGATAGTCTACGGGAAAAGGGAAAGAAAAGAAAAAGAAACAAGAACAAGAACAAGAAAGTGGTACTTGGAATAAATAATTAAAATCGCTTGATGATGAAGCGAAGGATGGATCGGACCGAGACGCTTGATTCCCCTTGGATCTCGTGGATGGATACCCCCTCCAAAGTGTATGAAACCGCCTTTAAAGGAGAGATCTTTACCCTTTTTTTCTTTTACTCTCTCTCATGTTGTGTGCTATAAGGTTGATGAAAACTAGGGTTGGGCACAGAAGCTACGCAAACCCTAGGGTTTTGGTCTTGGAGCTGAGCTTCTTGTGATGATTCTTGATCCTGATGATGGGCTCTTTGCGGGTTTGGGATATGAAGAAGGAGGAGAAGGAGAAGGCGACGGAGGAGGAGGTAGCTGTGGTGATGGAGAATCATGATGACGGTGATGATGATATTGGAAAAAGCGAGGGAAGGGTGATGAGGTTGTAATGATGATGGAGATGAAGAGAAGTCAGAACGAGAGGAAAATATGATGATTGCTGTGTTTGTTGCTTTGAACCATTTTTTTTTTTTGCTTCCAAGGAAAAAAAAAACAAATCTAGCCTATGTTTATGCCCTAGCTCCCTCCTCCCTTCTCTCTCTCTAGAGAGAGAATAAGAGAGAGAGAGAGAGGCTATGACAAAAACCAATGGAGTGCTTTTTCTATGACCTAATTTAGTAGTCCCTTTGGTGATGAAAAAAGTTATATCGTTCTCAATTCTAATTGTTGACTATATGGGTATGTAAAGTTATATATATATATATATATATATATATATATATAGTTTAAAAAAGAATGGTTTCTTAAAATCATAGTTTTTAAGGAATAAAAGTTTTCCCACAATAACAACTCGAATTATTGATTATATACATTTTTAAACATCATGTTTTGGTCCAACAAAAATGACTAAGACTGATTCCAACAATTACAGTCTTTAACTTTGTACTTTTGTGTTTGTCCTTAATTATTTAGACCAAATCTTATTAGAAGATAAAAATGGGTTTAAGAACAATAAATTGCCAGTTTTTGTTTTTCGTTTATCACAAAATAAATCAAGGACGAAATTAATGAAAGAATATATATATGGATCAGGGGATCAAGGGGAGGGTGTGTTTCTAAAGCACATACGGATATTCTTTCCAGATACAAATGTCATTCTCTCCACGTTATAACCATTTCTTTTTCCACTTTTATAATTCAGTGGCTGAATTCTTTCCTATGTATATAAATATATATATATCCAAAAGAGGTTTTTTTTCCAGCGCATTTAAGGGTTTTATATATCAATCATATAATGATTCAAAATATTATTAACTTAATTAATAATTTTTTTTTGGAAAAATGCAGTCATCATGACTCCTATTGTAAAGTATATTTTTTATAGTATTTATATATATATATATATATTTTTTATCACGATGGACAAATTAACATCAATTATCTGTTTGGTATATAAAATTTTGTGTATATATTCATACAATTCTCAACTGTTTTTTCAAAAGGAATTCAACCTTAATTAGCCCCTCTCTCTGTGTATGTATATGTAGACAGGTGGTATGCATGTGGTTGTACAAAAGAATTGAAATAATATTTTTCTGATTCCACATTTGATTTCTCTTTTTCATTTTTTTAAAATTTTAATACCGAATAACGAAAAGGCTGTTTGTGACTGTATTTGGGGAGTGTCTGTATATATAAATATAGAAATGTGGTATGAGCTTTCTTGGGGTTGGTTAAAGAAGGTGAATTTTGGCAGTCCATGTCTTGTATATACCATAGGCATCTTTTATCTATATTATATTATATACAAACATATATATATATATATATGAAATTAATATATAGTAATTATTAAAAGAATGGCAGAGGAATCAAAATCATGAAACTCAGGGACGACAGTATATCGGAATGTGAGAGAGCTTTACTGCAAAAGGCAATGCCCTCGTGTAATTATCTTTCTGCCATTTGGCAAATTTACTAATTAAACTTTTTTTTTTCTAAACGAAAGGATAATAATAATAATAATAATAATAACAATAATAATCCAAAAGGTTATATTTTTTCTAAATGATTCATTTAAATCCACAATTATCTATAAATCTAAATATTTTTTAAAAAAAACTTTTTTTTTATTTTAAAATATATCTATTAAAACCCAAATAATTCGAAAATCCAAATTAATATAAATATTTTATAAAAACATGAAAGTTTTTTTTTTTTGAAAATTGTAAGTTTTTTTCCGGAGTTTTAACCAACAACAACAACATTATAATAACAATAACAACGAATTGGTATAAATTCACACATATAAAGACAAATTTAATTTATGGAAAAACGATGAGACATACCTCCTTTTTTTGGTAGAAAATGAAAACACATTAACTTTATCAATGAAACGCGTTCCTTCTTCCAAGGAATTTATCACCACGTTTGACTCAACCTAAGCACAACGTCTCATATTAAGTTACACATTTCATTTTCATTTGAAGCGATTACTTTTTATATAATATTTTTATTACATCATATTTTAATTTGATTTGAATTTTCTTCCAATCATATTGAAATATAAAATATTTATTTTGAAAATATTTCATTAGAACATTTTATTTATATTTATTCAAATTTAATCCGCATTCAATTTATTATATTAAAAAGATATTTAACTGTTAGTAAAATGAAATTAAATTCGGGTATAATTGTATATTATCCAATCTTATTATATATATAAACGAATTGAAATAACACTCAATAATAATAATATATGAGAAATGTTAAACCAATTTAACCAAATGCGTACAAAAACCTAGAAAATGTTATACCAAAAAAATCTAGAAAATGAAGGTTTTTTTTGGATATCATGTCAAATATAATAAGATTTGAAACATCTAAAGATATTATTAAACTAGACACCTTGTTTATGTTCCTCTTTCTACTCATAAATCATACAAAATATTCGTTTACACCTTTTGTTATGTGTTATAATTTACCTATTGAAGAACAATATATATATTATACATAATAATAAGCTTTTGTAAACTTTGTAATAATATCACACCAATAGAAACGTTTAATGCTAAGTAATAGATATCAAATAGTCATTTAAGATTATTATTTTTCTAGCTTAATCTGTGGATTTAAAACCAATATATATCTTATTGTTAAATCGGAAACAAACAAATTGAGGGTTGTGCCGTGGTGGAAATTAAATTGGTAAACCGGTTGGTCTGTCCACTAAACCGGAGAGTGAGAATGCGGTCGCTGGCGAGAAAGCGGCCGACGATCGTTTCCTCTTCGCCGACTCCATCACTGTCCTTCAGATCCAGCCGCTCTCGCTGACGCCTACTCCCCCAATGTCATAGCTCTCTCTCTCTCTCTCTCGTGCTACAATGCAACACCGGCGAGTCTCCGATGGTGTGATTTTCGAGCTTTTTGAATCTGATTGATGGTATTTGTTAGACCTGGAAGGTGGGTGGTGCGTGGCTATGGAGGCTACAACGCCCGATGGACTTTGTTCTTGCTTCATCACACTTTCCCTCTCGTGAGCTCTCTCTCTCTCGCTCGGGATTTTCGGGTCAATTTTCGATCTTTTGTTCTGGGTGAAGTGTAAGGTATCAAAGTTAGGAAGGTTTCGATGTTGAATCTTGGGTTTGATTTGAACTCAATTTTGGCTTTAATCCGGTTTAAACCCGATTCCTGTAATTGCACAGAGGATGTAGATTTACTATACACTATCTGTAACCGGAAGATTACGTACAAACTGTCGGAGAATCAATGCTTGGGATACGAACTTGATTGTATTTTCCCTTTATCTGCAATCTATCTCTGCTTAACCTTGGAACATAGTTCAAGAATAGTTGAATTCCTTACACTATCAAAGCAGCAAAACTCTATTCCTCTCTTAGAGTTCTGGATTGTCTGTAGTTTGGATCCGTAGTGCATTTTCACGTTTTTCTGGCTTGTATTCTATCTGAATGGGTTGGGTAGTAAAAAAGGAACAGCAGAAGTTCTTGCTCTTGGTTGTATGCAAGCATCTGCAGAACAATTTCTTGTTTTCTACTGTATTGTCCTTTTGAAAGTGTGGAAGAAACAGATCAAAGTCTGGGTTTCTGAGTAGTTGTCCTCTTGGACAAATTTATGGTGCTGCTAAGAGCCTAGATGGGTTAGTTTGTGAGATCAACCTAAAGGCACCAGATTTATGTGGTCATCCACGGCGTAAAATGGAAGGGCTGGTGAAATATGTTGAAGAATCGAACTTGTGATTTGAATACCATTATCTGTAGAATTGATGCATCGATCAAGGTGTGAATGTGATAGGGATTCATTGTGAGTATATTAAGGCAGGTCTACTATTGAATAATGCATATAAATATTGATAATGTTTCTTCTTCTTCTTCTTTTTTTCCTCTCATTTCCTTTCTAATTAGGACTCTTCAAGCCCTCCTTCTGGGCCCTTGATAGGCAGCATGTACCTGTGGAAGAAACCTAAGAAAATTTGCTCAGCTTCTGAAGGTCTGAATTGCTCCCTTTTCCTAATTCCTGCCCTGTGAATCATGTGTTCTTGGACTTGTTGCCAACTTTGTGAAGTTTCAGTTCCACCATTTGTGTTGTTTAGTGTTTATATATTTAGTCAGTCGACTTACAATCTGAATGCTTCCAGCCTCCTAAATGAACGAACCCTGTAACTTTCAATAGAGGAGTTCCAAATGTATTTTCAGTTATATCAGCATGCTACAAATTGTTGCTTCTCCCTTCTTATAGGTGATAATCTATGTCCTGAACTGCTTTGCCACTGTTTCAGGTGCATTTATTGTTCTAACAGATGATTTTCTGTTCACAGAAGTGTTCAACTACCTCGCTAGTTGCGCTTATAATGTAACTCGCTTCCAATTTATGAAACCGGGCATAAAAGCAATGCCAGGTGAGTTATATATTTGTTTCCAGCTCTGCATCCCATTTGAATTCCAGTTGCCAGCATATCTTCTGAAAGTTGAATCGGTGATGACTCTAACCAGGCGTTTAATTCAAATCACTGAAATTTGGAGCACATTTCTGCTTGCCCTGCCGCCAGTTTTCGCAGGAGACGTATCATGTAGGAACTATGAGAAGTTGATAAGATGTTTGTATCAACATTCAATTATTGTAACCAACTTAAAGTTTACATTTTTTTTGTCAGAACCCGGAAAAGCTCAGATTTTTTTGTTGTTGATATTTTCGTGTGATTTTGCTAAGCAGTGATGGGTCTGCATCTGCTAGACGAGGGCAATGCATTGGTGCATCAAGTATCGAAAATGTTCAGAGAAGCATGGCTCTCTCCGGGAAAGATCCCAGGCAAAGCTTTCGAAGGCCAGTGCTCGTAGGATTTGGGTTCACCGGAATCTTCAGAACTCGACATTCCAGTTCATAGATCCAAGAGCCAGCCTCTTCTGTTCTGTATGTTTCTCTCCAGACATCAAGAGATCAGTTCCCAAACAATAAACCACTATTGCTCTCCATGATGCCTAAAGTTAACAGGCTAAATCTTCATTTCTTAAATTTCAATTTATTGTTACAAGTTCTTAAGTCATGTATCTCTGTAATTCCACTCTCCAATGGGTAAATATGGAGAGTTTTCCATGAAGGGTCCGAAATTCATTTCAATATCTACAAAATATATTTATATCTTCTATTCAATTGAACCTTCTTCTTGTCTCTCTGCTTCACCATGTTATCATATATATATATATATGATATTCATATATATATTGGATCTCCTATTTTTTTATGATCATATATATTGGATCTTGTTATTTACGAGCGAACATTTTGCACCATTTGTGTAAAATTCATGCCTACAACAAGCATACGCTTTGAATACATACTATTTTGGTGCGCTCTATTTATTCGGATTTTGATACTTTGGCAAAATTTGAGGAGGGACGCACACCCACCCACCCAACGTCAATGACCGTACAATGCGTCTTCTCTTTCTTTTGTTGTTTTTTTTTTCTTTCCATATGAATGAAAAAAAAAAATCTTCTCTCTTATATGCACATTTCGACGCTCAATTGACTGAATTCGTTGTTGACGCAACGAGAGCGGAGAAACAGAGGGGACGAGAGAGAAAGCAAGTCAAGATCCTTTTTTTTTTTTGTGGCCCAGGTATAGAACTTATTCATTTCTTTTTGCCAGTTTGCGAGTTCCAATCTGTTGGGCTTATGCAGGGGGTTTTGTTTTTTGTTTTCTCTCACGCATTTGATTAGAAAATCTTTTGACTTTTTGCTTGTTTGCGTCTTTGTTTGTGACCAGAATCGATGGTGTTTTCATGCGGAAAGATGGGTTTTTTCTGCTAGCTGTGTGGTGAGACAAATCCCCGAGCAACGATGAAGCAGCATGACCCAGATGCCAAAACCCTAGAAGAAACATCTGGGTCGTCGGAATTCTTCAGCTTTAGCCAGGAATCTGATGGGATGGCTTCAGATTTTGAAGTTCATGCACCGGAGTCCACCGGTGGCTTAGGCTTGGATTGCGTGGGTCCTACCGAAGCAATCGACAGTAATGCTGGCGATATAGGAGGTGCCGTCGAGAATTTTCCGGCGAACGAGGGGTCAAAGGAAGAAAACGAGGGTTTATTATCTCGAGACGATGATACGGTGAGAAAGATACAAGTTTCCGGAGAGAACTTATCGCTTGTTGTTGATTTCAGTGGCTCTTTAACTGTACTTAGTCGTCAGAATGGTTTTGATTCTAGCGGTAGTAGCCTGACTGCGAATGTGAAGAAGGAAAATGGAGAAGGGGATGAACACTTAGGGTTTGTGGTGGGTGACATTGTCTGGGTGTTGACGAAATACCAGACTTGTTGGCCTGGAGAAGTAGTTGATTTCAGGGCTGGTGAAAAGGAGAGTCTTTTGGTTAGATATTTTGACCAAAGCCATGTCTCCCTGTGGCTGGCGCCGTCTCGGTTAAGGCCCTTCAACCAGAACATTGAGTATATGTTGAAGCAAGGGAAAGGCAAAAGCTTTACGAGAGCCGTGGAGAAAGTCGTGGCTTTGTTGGGTGATTCTTTGAAATTCGAGATGACTTGTCCGTGTATTCGCAAAGAACATGACGAATCTCGGAAATTGAAGTCTTCTTCATTGAGTGAATTTTCTGTAGATCGGATGGAACCAGAAGAGTTTGTTGCCCGGCTGAAGAATCTCGCCAAATGTTCTTCGGTTTCTGGAATACTTGAGTTGACAGTAATGCAGAGTCGGTTATCGGTCTTTTATTCTTTCAATGGGCATAAGCAGATACCAGTGGATCAACTATGTGAAGATGATGCAGGAAAACGATGTCCTGTGCCAGCCAAACAGAAGGCAAAGAAGAAGATTCAAGAAGGAGCGGTTAAGAGGAAGATGCCTGCAGATAAAAGCAAAGATCTTTCCAGTATCCAGGGGATGGGAACTCAGGTGTCTGGTCTAGGAAACAATGTCGGGGACATTGACATTGAGAATCAGAGCTCTTCTGTGTCAAGAAACCGAAAGAGAAGTAAGTATTTGTCGTATCCCTTTGTGGGCTCAAAGGCAACAGAAGGTGAAAAGGCCATGGAAAGTACCAATCAATTCATCGGTTCTTCGTCCACTGTTACCGGGAGTATCAGGAAGAGGTTCCAGAGAGAATGGTTCAGGAAATTTATGAGTGAAGAAGGCAATGCATCTGTCAGAGCCGAGCTAGCAGGTGTGTCTCTGTCTGACTTGATATCTGAACTCCGATTGCTTGCCATTAACTACCGGTATTCAAAAGAAACCGATCATTTTGGTCTTACCGAGTGGTTCTTCTCCAAATTTAGAATGTCTATGTTTCACGACGAACATATTTACGAGAAGCAGTTCAAGAACGATATGATCTTAGCTAAAGAGACAACTCCTGATGCTGGGCAGGACATATCCAAGACAGAGTGTTTGGCAAAATCAAATATCAGACCCGATAATGGCCTCTCAGATGTGAAGTCAGTACCTGGCACAGATGGGTTTTGCCCGAGTTACTCCCAGGAAGGAATCTCGGTTCAAACTCTGAGTGAGAAATCTCCCGAGGCAGATGCTCCGAGCAGACCTGCTACACTTGTACCAGAACTAAACAATGGTAGCACTACATTGAATTTTGTGGAACCTGGCCATTCGCAAGGACCGAACATCTCGGTTTTACCGGAAGTGAGCAAGCTAGGAGGAGAAACAAGACCTATGATGTTAAACTTTCAGGTCACAGGCCCGTGTTCAACCGACAATATCTCAGGAGCAGGGTTTGTTTTTGTTCAACCGGTTTCAGGCATAGACCTGAACCTGTCCAAAACTGATCTCTCCACCCATTTCACTGACCCAGGGCAGACAAAGAGAAAGCGGAAGAGGAAGAGGAAAGAAGAGCCTCCGTTAGCTACTACTGAAACCGCTACTGGAATACCCGACTTAAACGGGTTAGCCCCTGATGCAACCTCACCTCTGCCCCAAGAAAAGCCTGTACAACGCAGAAGACGACGGAAGAAAGAAGAGCTATCCAATGGAGAAACCAAAGGAACCACCATTCTTGTCATGAAATTTATCTCGGGCGACTCGTTGCCTTCCAAGGACGATCTGACCTCGAAATTTGCTGGGTTTGGCCCACTGGATGCAACCGAAACGCACGTTTCAACGGATTCCGGCAGTGCACAGGTCGCCTTTATGAGTAGTGGCGACGCCATAGAGGCCGTCAAAAGCTTAGAGAAGACTAACCCATTTGGTGAAACGTTAACAAGTTTCAGACTGCAGCAGAAACCAGCGGCCACTTGCAAGAAGGTTGCCCCGAGAATGCCGGTAATATCGGTTAGTTCGGGTTCCAGACCGAGAGAGCCGCCGATGAGCGTGGAAATGATAAGGCAGAATCTGATGATGATGACGTCGATGCTGGAGAGATCCGGCGACAGTTTGTCGGAAGAGATGAGAGTGAAACTGAGGAGGGAGATAACAGGTCTTCTGGAAAAGGTGAGCTCCATGCCCTAACACACATGGAAACCCTAATTTAATCTTTACTTTTTCAGGCTTTAATGTAGTTTTTGTGTTGAACCCACATTTTGTGGACTGGTTTTTGTTCCGGAATTCTCGCAGCTTCTTCTGTTTTCCAGTCTTTTGATTTGCATCTTTAGGATATGCAAATGTGCTTTCGACCGACCGCTTAATTATCATTATCATAAGATTAATTTCACGGAAGAACTTAATTAGTGCTCCGTAGAATAATGATTAGAGGGTTTCAATGCGTAGCATCGACATAAAACTACGCACCAAAGTAGTACAGATACTAAATCAAGAAGCAGAAAACACAAAACCAAATACTTAACTAAAATTACCTAATCAAGGTATAATCCATTACCCTACATCGTATTAATCGAGTTCATCATAATATAGCAACAGTCTCAGCCCAAGGAGTTTGTCTTGGTGGATGATCCATAGCCGTTGATCAAGCCGTTCCATGCCGGTCCGAGGCCGTTGATATAGCCGCCGTACGAGGCACTGTCTTTCCGTGGATCGGAACAGCCTTGATCCTGTTGCCAATCAAGGGATAACAGCTTCTGATTCGGCTTCAAATCCATCGTTGTTAAACTTTGTTCCTCACTCCCATTATGTTGATGATGATGATGATGATGCTGTTCGTAAGTTGTCAGCATCAGTCTCTGGCACGTTGCCATGTCCATGCCGTGAAAACCGTGAAATCCGCCATGGTTTAGCCCTAACCCATGGTTGTGAATCGCTCCATTAGTCTCCGGATGGACCATGGCAAGATCGTTGTTCATCCCCATGAGATCAAACTTGCTGTCCAAGAAATCAATTGGTCTAGGGTTTTGTGAAAGCAACCCTCCATACTTGCTCTCCAAGAAACCGCCGTTGTGCTCTTGAGCAGCAGCCACGTAAGAGCCGATCATCCCCGTGAAATGGGGAAGTCCGATGGGGGTATTCTGGTAATTCTGTTGAGAATGCAGAGTCATGAGCTCGGTCGTGGCGGCCGTGCTCGACGAGGAGGGCTTTTTCCCGGCGGAGGATGAGGAGGAGGAGGGTTTCTTGTTTTTCCGGCAGCCTCCGCCGACAGGGATATTGCGGAGGGTGCCGCCTTTGGTCCAGTAGCGGCGGCAGGTCTTGCAGAAGTAGCGAGGCTGGGAGAGGCTGTAGTTGTTGTAGTAGCAGAACTTGGTGTGGGTGGACTCGCACCGAGGGCACTTGAGTGGGTGGTCGTGTGGCGGACGCAGCCTCCTCCCACCGTCCA